TGTGGCGTGTTGTATAGAGCGCTTTGAGTACTCCAGGAGATTAGAAAAGCGCTATATAAGAATCAGAATCAGTCAACAAACTGCTCGAAATGCGTTGACAGAAACAGTTCAGGTATTTTGAGTAATTCTGCACTCTAGATGCGTCAATTGTGTTAAAATTTTTAATTGCGTTTACCGTGATGTCAGATTAATTTGCGTTAACGCGTTAATTTTGACAGCACTAGTAAAAATACATACTCACATACTCACCCAACATTGAGACACACAGAACGCAGTATACACACTCCCAATACACACTCTGCTCCCAGGTCCAGGCACCAACATGCCCAGAGGGGCAATCTGACCCCAGACCAAGGATATGGTTCCCTTTACTGTGGGGTGGAGACTAGCAGACTGCCCCGGTCCCGCAGCAGCAGGGAAGTCCACCAGCCCAGACACCAACCAGACCTCCTCCTGGCCCCCTGCCCCAGAGAGCAAACAGCGAATGGGGGTGTGAGAAGAGGGAAGAAATTAGCGATGAGGAGGCAAGGAAAGGGGTGGGGGGGAAAGTACCCCCCACCCTGCAGCCAGCCTTCTCGTTGACCCCCATGGGCACACCTGTTCCCCCAAATCCACCAAGGGCAGAGAGCTCAGGTCCATCGAGACCGGGGCTCACAGCAACAGCACTACCATGGCCCACAGAGCCCACATAGCCCATTCGACCCTACTGCAGAGGAAAACTACACCCACCCCAACATTCAGTCAACTCACAGACTACACCTGCAGAGTGTATTCCACAAGAGCAGAAACCACCTGCAAAAGATGGTAACAACCTTCCCGCCATCTAAAGAGGCCCTAGCTCTACAAATGCACCAAAGGCCCCACATCAGTGCCAGGCCCCATTGCATGCACCCACACACAACTCCGGTGATACACCAACCAGGAACCAGGCCCCCAGGCTAGCCAGAACACCAGCTTGGAAACAAAGCACCCACAGAACCCCAAGTCCCCAAGCCTGGCCCGGACCCGCACTGCAATGTCTGCCAGCATAGACCTCCCCGAGCCCTGCTGTATGCAGCCACCATAAACACCACCCAAGAGCCACCAGAGTCCCATCCCAGCCAGCACTACAGCCCCCAGGTCAAGACCCCCAAAAAACCCACTCCTAGAGAACCCCCAGACAGTCTGCTTAGGATTTGCAGAAGGCAGTGAGAGCCATGTGGACTGTGTTCATCTCCATAGTGAAATCATTTAAGTCACTCAGCAAGCAAAGGGGAGGCTGAAATGTTACATTTCAGACATTGATAGTCTTCGCACATCCTGCGCTAAAATGTCTGAAAAAGTGGATAGAAGCAGACAGCGGGGATATAATTGTCAGGTGTATTGTCTTGACAGTGTGCGCAGTTGTTAGAAGATGTAAAACCCATCTTGAACATCCGCTGACCTGTATAGTGCACCCTGTGTAGTATTTTATATTGTAGACTGTGATTTCTAATCAAATTAAATGTTTTTAAACATGTCTGAAGAAGAACATGTCAGAAGTTGTTGTCCAAGCTGACTGATAGATCCGCCTCCTATTTCGCAATAGGAAGTGATATTGATTCATTTATTTAGGAGTGTCCTGTATATTTTAGACAGTAATTTGAGGGGTTTTGAGATTAAGGAATTATACCACACTTGGTGGTGTTTATAATTTGACTTGATTAGGCTTAAATTTATTTTTTACTATAGATTTAATTTTTTAATATTCTAAAAATCTATTCTTGATAATTCCATATTGTTTAGCTAATCTGTCAAATGGTATAAAGTCTGTTTTTTCGATTATTCATAACTGTTCAAAGTATTTAATTCGTTTACAACTCAAATCTGCAAAGTTTATCATATCATTGTTCTGTAGTATGTCAGGGTTGTTCCAAATGGGTGTTCGAAGACCATGGGATCAATGAAGACTCAGTCATTTTTAGAAACTCCCACCATGCTGTTAGAGAGGAGCTGATATTGATGCTTTTAAAGCAATGAGCTATCATCATTGAACTACCGTTCATTAGCTCAATGATGATTGAGCTAATGAACGGTAGGATTTAAATCTCTACATTTTCCATAGTTCCAGTTCTACATCCACTACTCACTCCACCACACCAATCTTAGAACTGAAGAAGCTTCTCAGATGAGAGGTGAAACATCTTCAAGAAACTAAAAGAAGTCCAGATGTTTTTCTTTCCAAGCTACTTAGACTACCTAGACATTTTTTGTTCTGTACTGTCAAATGTTTGAGGCATGGAAGCCTTGAAAATCTAAATTATAATACAGTATTAAAAACTGAAGTTGTTATACATGTGTACTTGATTTTTTTTTATTGCGGTATTAAAAAATATATCACATATACCAAAATACTTATAACTACAGAAGAAGGTAAGAAGACTTTTAAACTGATACAGGAATTCTGTTCAGGAGCAGTATATGGGAGGCTGTGTGTGAAACTCCTTCATCAAAGCTTTTCAGTTGTGCCAACACGCCTAACACAGTTTTTGGTTCAGTAAAAACTACTACTTTCATATTAAATGTTCAAATGGACAGATCTGACCAAAAGATGACATTGGGAACAGATGAAATATTTCATGGTAAAAAATAAGATGGAAACATAACAGTGAGAATATGGCATATACTTTATACAGCAGTAAGAAATTACAGCAACAGCAAAAAATTATATACTGTAACAGGCTTCAAAATATAAGCCCGTTGTTCCTGGGAAAATTTGATCTTTTGAAAACATCTCCCAGTGATCTTTTTAAAATAACACACTTATCATGATAATTTAATGCTTGCTAAAGAACCAATACCAAGGAAAAGCAACAAGCAGAAGGGATTTGTTTGGGCCAAGAAACACAAGGAATGGACATTAGACCAGTGGAAATCTGTGCTTTGGTCTGATGAGTCCAAATTTGAGATCTTTGGTTCTACCCGCAGTGTCTTTGGTCTCTACATGCATAGTTCCTGTCATTAAGTATGAAGGATGAGGTGTGATGGTGTAGGGGTGCTTTGGTGGTGACACTGTTGGGGAATTTATTCAACACCGAAGGGACACTGAACCAGCATGGCTACCACAGCATCCTGCAGCAGCGTGCCATCCCATCCCAAACACACCTCCAGCCTGTGTAAGGGCTATTTGACCATGAGGGAGAGTGATGGAATGCTGCATCAGATGGCCTGACCTCCACAGTCATCTGACCTAAACCTAATCGAGAAGGTTTGGGAGGTGATGGACCACAGAAAACAGCCAACAAGATCTTGGAAAACCATTTCATGAAGGACATTGAGAGAATGTTAGAGTGTGCAAAGCAGTAATCAAGGCAAAGAGTGGCTGTTTTGGATAATATAAAATACAAAACATGTTTTAAGTTATTTCACACTTTTTGTTTACTACATAATTCCATATGTGCTTCTTCACAGTTTTGATGCCTTCAGTGATAATCTAAAATGTAAATAGTCATTTAATTAAAGAAAAAACATTAAATGAAAAGGTGTGTCCAAATTTTTGACTGTTAGTGTATGCTCGTATCCAGACAACATCTTTTGCAGGGAAGGAATTGTGTATTTCAGCAAGATAATGCTAAACCAAATACTATATCAATTACACGTAAAATTCATAGTAGAAGATTTCAGGGCTTTCACCATATGCATGTTCAGTTATGATTCTCTTTTAGATACTAAATCATCACACAAAAAGACATATCTCAGCTTGTCTTGTTGTTGCATGTACGAGGGAAAGGCAATAGCAATGACATCCTAATATAACATTTTTATATCAAGTAAAATTTTAGTCCACGGACAACATGATATGGCATAGCCCTAATGAAAAGCAAAAATCTAACTTCATCCCCTCCCAAACTGAAACAAAATAAAAGTAACTAGGACAAACTTATATGACAGCTGGATGTGTGGTTCATTCATTCTCTGTTTGGATTGTGTATAGAGTGTTTTGTTTTGACGAACATATGAAATTTCAAGACCAAAGTTCAACCCAAGACACACTGTACAGCAGACTTGAAGGCTCCATCTCTTTACTTGTTCTCAATCCAGGTGGAGCAGTCTCTGGTATCTTGTGTGTCAGCCCCATAACTGAACTATTACAAGCAAGCTGATTCCTCACCTCTCAAATGCCCTTTTCTTCTCACTTTCCTGCATCCATTGGCAGACAAATGATGTGTGTAGATGATTGACAGTGTGCTGGATCAATGTTTTTTGGTGCAGTTTCCTCACAATATGTCTATTGTTCTTCTTAGACACCTCTGTATGTGGCCTCTCTGTGGCCACATGCCAACCCTATTGCATTACAGCAGAAATCTGACTTTACTGGTCTAAAGTGGTAAAATTATTAGTTTGTATTGACCATTTGATAATGGACCAATTAATATGGGAGGCAATAAAGCAATGATGGGTATTGATGGGTGCAATGATAGGCATTTGCCAGTATTTTTGACATCTGTGTATGAGGGCATACATAGTGCTGAGGGCTAGCACTAGCATTTTTTTTAAATAAAATGAACTCTCGTCTCAGAGCCGTGAATCAAGCGTGAATAAACGTCGCATGGGATCGCTGGGGTAGCTAATACTGCGCAGGCTACTATCCTGATTGCTGCAGCACATCCTGCAGCTCCTGCTGCTGCCTGGAGCCTGAATCCTTAAGAGGATGATGTCAGTGTTCGATGATGGGAACACATTAGCCTATCGTCAGCCAGCAGAAAGCACAAAAAAAGTGGCCAAATGAATAATACAAAGAACCAATACCCCATCTATGCTCAGAACATGCAATGCTCTGCGAGCTTCGAGTGATTACAAGCAGTTTAATTATTAGACCATAGATCCGAGAACAAGGTGTACGGTCTGCATGTTGTTCGGCCTGTATTACCGTCGCGGTGTTGTGAAATTAAGCAGAGATTTGCGAGGGGGAGACGATCCAAACGTGCCTGCGTGCATAATAGCGGACAGCGCGATACCGTAAATCAAAAGCTGCATCTTACCGCATCAGTTCGGATTCCCAGCTTGTGCTTATCCATTTTCTGTTAGGGACGTGACACGAGGGAGTGTGATAGTGGTTTCTCAGTGACGACATCGAACATGTGCAAAAGGCAAAGCTGCTCCTTATTGGTCAGAATCTTTAGATTTTTTTTCCTCCTCCTCCCTACTCGGTAGATTGCTGCGTTACCGTGCTGCAACATCCACACGTATGTCGCCGCAACCCGTGCTCCGTCCCCCCTCCCGCTTTCTCTCTCGTGCTCTCTCTCCCTCCATTGCGCCTGTACCACTGACAGCAACACGCCTGAAACCACCCCTTCCAATGAGGCTGAGTGCCTCAGCCTTTCGCCTGACTGCAATGACCATGTACAAAAGAAGCAAAGCTCTGGCGCACATTTACACCGCGGTTCTAAATTATTATGCAAATGACATTTTTCTCTGATTTTCCTAAATAGTCGATCCAAGTGACAGTCAGCATAATTTTCGAGTCATCAAGCATTAGAGTATAATTGGAATGTTACTGAACAAACATCCCAGTGAAAACGGTATGTTTTTCAAAAATAACACACTTAAAATGCACAAATTATGATGCACAGCAGATGTTTCAAAACATTTCATAGGTTGTAAAGAACTGAAAATGGTAATTTGTTAAATTTGCAGCATTAGGAGATCATATTTACTGAAATCAAAAGCTTTTTCAATCAAAAACATCTTAAGAGGTCAAGTTACATATTAACATAGGACCCTTTATTTGATAGCAGTTTCGTAATTCTTGCATCCATGGAACTTGTACGTTTTTTGGAGAGTTTCTGCTTGAATGTCTTTGCAGGATGTCAGAATAGCCTCCCAGAGCTCTTGTTTGGATGTGAACTGCCTCCCACCCTCATAGATCTTTTGCTTGAGAATGCTCCAAAGGTTCTCAATAGGATTGAGGTCAGGGGAGGATGGGGGCCACACCATGAGTTTTTCTCCTTTTATGCCAATAGCAGCCAATGATGCAGAGGTATTCCTTGCAGCATGAGATAGTATTCCTTGCAGCATCCTCATGCATGATGATTTTGTTGCAGAAAGAACGGTCTTTTATATTGTACCATGGAAGAAAGTGGTCGGTCAGAAAGTCCACATACTTTGCAGAGGTCAATTTCACACCTTCAGGGAGCCTAAAGGGGCTGACCAGCTTGGAATCCACATGATTCCGGCCGAAAACATGACTCCACCACGTAATTACTGACATCACAGCCTTTTTGGGACATGGTGGCCATCCAACAACCATCCACTACTCTTCCATCTGGACCATCCAGGGTTGCACAGCACTCATCAGTGAACAAGACTGTTTGAAAACTGTTCTTCATGTAGTTCTGGGCCCACTGCAGCCGTTTCTGCTTGTGAGCACTGGTTAGGGGTGGCCGAGTAGAAGGTTTATGCATAACTGCAAGCCTCTGGAGGGTCCTACACCTTGACGTTCGTGGGACTCCAGAGGCACCAGCAGCTTCAAATATCTGTTTGCTGCTTTGTAATGGCCTTTTAGCAGCTGCTCTCTTAATCCAATGTATTTGTCTGGCAGAAACCTTCCTCATTGTGCCTTTATCTGCTCGAGCCCATGTTTGCTGTGGCTCAGCCACAAATCTCTTAACAGTACAATAATGTGGAACACCCTTTCATTTCATTGGGCTCACCTGCCAAGCTAATTATCACAGGTGTCCGAGATTGATTTTAGTAATCCAAAGAGCCCTGAGACACAATGCCATCCATGAGTGTAATTGAAAAATAACATTTTTAATCTTCATAACACTTAAATACAATTTGCATAATAATTTGGAACACAGTTTACATTCACATCAATTAATGAGATTTATTAATTTTCTTGCCATCACCTGACTGTAATAACAACAGCAGCAACAATTAAGGAGTGCTGTGTTTTTCATCCTTAGCACATCTCACCCTCAACGTCGCAAAGACAAAGGAGTTGATAGTGGACTTCCGGAGGTGCAGAGAAGTACACACCCCCATCACCATCAACGGCGCTGCTGTGGAGAGAGTGAGCAGCTTCCGGTTCCTTGGTGTACATCTGGCTGAGGATCTTACGTGGTCAGTACACAC